TTTACATTTAAAATACAATAATACTAATACTAAAAACTGATTTCACTGCAAATTGCCACGACAAATATTCATCCAGTTTATAAAGACACTGTTCTGTCAAAAACGATTTTAAATTATATTTGAATGATTGTTTTGTCATGCAGTTTTTCACATTTGAGACACCTAAAAGAGAAGAATTGAAAAATGAATAGCTGAAAATAAAAATTATATTGAGTAAAAACCTGAAATGAAATAACAGTGAAATAAAATACAAGTAAAAATAGAACAATTGAACCAAAATTAAATAAAAATAAAGAAATGAAAAAAGAAAATAAAAATACAAAGTTAAGAGATTCCAAGCCACGCCACGTTAGTTCACGACGTTTCGATTGTTGGTATCTACAATCGTCTTCGGGTGATGACTGGACTGATTTCTCCGAGAGATGACTATTTATGTGTCGTTCGAGTACTTTCACTTATCCCCGCTTTCCATTTTTCGCTTCACTGGTTTAGTGGGAGATGACCGTTTGGCGGGAGTTGGCCATTTTTCTCTTGATGATGGGTTTTTAGTATATATATATANNNNATTTATTAGATAGCTCTGACACTAGTTGCCATGCAGATCTTGAAGGATTGTCTGAATTCTTTATTTTATTTTGAAAATATTCCTTTTTTGTTTTAGTTATCAAATTATCGTGACTCTTTTTTCTGACTTTATAGATGTTTTTTAGTTCGGGACAAAATTTATGTATGTTGAAAAGGTCTTTTGAATTTTGACAAGATTGTTTAATTTCATGTGTGATCTATTTCTTTTTCATTCTGATTTTTTGAATGAATAGGTAATTTTGGAAAATTTGTTCCAAAATAATACGAGAATGTTGACAAAATGCCTGAAACGCAAGATTAATATCAGTTTTATTCAAAATTTCGACCCAATTTTCATTGCCGATGTTTATTTTGAATTGATTTATACTATCATTCGTAAAACGCCTTCTCTATTCTGTTTTTGTTGATTTTGACATTTCGCTCAACTCCATATCGCAAAATACTAGAATGTGATCGGATATATCATTACCAATATGACACAACATGTTATTTCCTCAAATAAGTTAGTGAATATTTGATCAATTGTAATGGCACTAGTAGTGGTAACTCGTGTAGGCCACGATACTGTATATTTCCGATTATAACATTCTGAAACATCTCAAATTTTGTTAAATGCTGGACTGAACCTATCAGAACAATCTGCGTTGAAATCACCACATAAAGAGATATTCACATCTGATTTGAAAATTTCATCTAAAAAGTTTTGAATGGTGTTTAAAAAACTTTCAAATCTTCCAATGGAGAACGATAGCAACACAGTATTATAGTTTTTCCTATACTCAAGTTGCCAGAAATACCACAAATTTCTATGTCTTGTTCAACACAGTATTTTGTGAGAAGGCTGAAAAGTTGCCCTTTTCTGAACTTTGAAGGGCCGCAACGTGAATAAGGGAGAGCGCCGCTTTATTCTTACGGATTCGTAATCTACGCATCAAAATACTTGAGTACACTCAAAAATGTTTTCTAAATCGCCGGGTGCCCTCAAAACGAATATTTACCGTGTGAACAAACAACATTGTCGAATTTGGAACGATACCAATCCACATGAGATCCAAGAGCGTCCAATACATCCCAAAAAAGTCACTGGTGTGGATTTTGGGCTGGCGGCGTCATCGGTCCATATTTTTTCAAGAACGATGTTAGTCAGGCCATCACTGTCAACGGCGAGCACTATAGGTCGATGATTACCAACTTGCTTTAGTCTGAATTGGATGATCTGGGCACCAACAACATGTGGTTTCAACAGATCTCACACATCTCACATCTCAAACACATCTCACGTGGAGGTGATGTGAACTGGCCACCGAGATGGTGCGATTTGACTCCGTTAGACTTTTTTTTGTGGGGTTTTCTTGAGTCGCATCTCAGGTGTATGCGAATAAGCTACAAACCACAGCGGTCCTCATGGCCAACATAACCCATGCCATCGGTCAAATTCAGCCTGATTTAGACGCTAGAGTCATGGAAAATTGGACGTTTCCGGTACACTCCGCCCAGAGAATCCGTAGCAAAAATTTGAACGATGTTTTTTTTGCTCATAATGGCGTCAATAGGTCTCTCAAACGAATAAAACATTTCGACGATATCTCACACACAACTATATTTTTTGAATTTTCAACTCATATTGTTTGAAAAATTGTTATAAACAAATGCATTGCATATACTATTCACTTTTACAAATCTGATTCCTGTTAAATGTAATAATTTTAGCAAATCGTTTTCTGAATTTTTTTTCACTAAACTTCAAGGAACCACTTTTTCAAAATAATTTTTAATAGTTTTCTTTCATAATACTGAAAAAATAATATCCGGGCTCGTTAGCCGTGGTCCAATGGAGAGGTTAACTACGAACGTTTGCCCGTAACTCGATGGGCATCTTCAGCGGTGGTTGGCAGCATTGCGTTGCGACCTCCTTGTTGGCAGACAAGATAATGATACGATATGTAGTGTGTTATTGCTATTTATGATGATTAGACCTGGAGCGTAGATATTCAGGTCTAGTCATCATCAAGGTCAGAAGAGAGCTGTTCTCAAGTATCTCACTCAACGAGCCGAACGGATTTGTGAACCAGTGCACTTTGAAGCTGAAAGAAACAAAATACAAGATATTATTAGACCATCTAGCTAGGCCAAAGAAATCCAACAAGCTAGCACGCACCCAGGCACCCATTCTTGGCTCAGCTTACTTGACTAACATGCACAAGGTTACTAACAGAATAGGAAGAATTTTCGAGAAACACCAAGATCATGAAAACCTTTTTTTCCAATCCATATGTATACTGGATTCACTGATCATGCGAGTTGTTGCTTGAAGATCTTGCCGTTTTGGACAGTTTGAAACATTCGCAGTCGCTGAGCAAGCGCTACAAGAAGGCCACGAGATAGAATTTGAAAAAACAGACGTGCTCCACACCACCCGTCACTAGTACACGCGTCAAAACCATGAAGCTATAATGATTTATAAATATCGGAACAATTTTGATAGGAAAGCTCTTCGTCGATGGTACTGTAGAGTAGGGAGGGTGAGTGTAGGCCCACAGCACTTAAGCCACATGTAACCCATGGAGGAGTAACAAAATAAATTTAACATAAGAGTACAATTGACATAATCGATAAAAAATGTAATATCTAACATCTAAGTATCTTTTTATCAAAACAACTACAATACTATTAATCACATTCTAATTCTAAAGTTTTTTCCCAAATCAGTTATACAGGACTATTCAAATTCGTTTATGTACATGGGGACCTCGTAAACGCTAAGAGATAGAGTGTCGGTTGAATTGTGGCAAAGTTGTGTATTTTAGAGACCTATTCAATTATGTAAAGAAATCGAATATAGCTCTTTTGGTTCTGGAGATATACAGGAAAAACCAAAAAATCCCAAATTATTTTTTCACCTATATCTTCTTCATTCGCAGACATATTGAAAATCTGTCCACATTTTGCTATTGGCACTTGATGTGGGATGTGGGCTCTCAGAATATATCAATGAATCTTTTATACAGGGTGTCATCTGACTTAGGTCACCCCCATCTTTGAATTTTTGAATATGGACCTGTATTTTTTGTTGTAGTTTTTGGATCGTAGACGTTCACTTCATATTGAGGAATCAAATTCAATTTTATATTTCGGGATGTTTCGGTAGTATTCGATTATGATTGTGTGAATTATTCCCTTTTAAATTACGGCCCTGGAAATTGGTTGA